TAATTATACATTATTACCAGATGACTTTCAAGTGAAATCTTTTTATTTTCCTGGAGTTGCCAGTATGAGACTGTGTCGTTCCAGCGTTAAACGTTTGAATTTTCAAAAAAAAAAAACTCGTCATTACTTTTCGTCATCTGACCACAGCAATAATCGACAAGCACCGAAGAGATTTCTGGCACGTGGCAAAATAAAACGATGTCACGCGTATGAAAATTATTCGTATCAGACGACGAAAACACGGCAGAGAATGTAGAGATACGAGCCGGGTAGAACTTCGTTTCCTGTTCTGCGATTTATTAATCGGAATCTGTGCTCCTACAGCTCTCGCTTCCGGGCGAAGGGAGCACAAGCGCACGAAGAACGTTCCCATCCCTGGGAACACCGGCAGATAACTCCGGATAATAATTCAAGCCCTTGTCCGCGTAGGATTTTCTTTCGTAACTAAATATTCGCCGAGGAAAAACACTGTCGTAAATTATTACGCGCATCCCGTGGTCGACTGTGGGAAGGAAGGGGGAAGAAGTGGGGGGAGGAGACTTCGGTGCAAAAATACAATTTTTCTGGATTGCACTTCCCCTATGACACGATGCGAGCGGAGATTCGCGTACTTGAAATAGCGAGTAACCGTCCGTATTGGCAAACGAGAACGCTACTTCAGGGCGTGAATTCGATGGCTGGAGAACGGGATGGAAAGAAGGAGTTCATCTGAACCGTTTCATTTGACTGCATACTCGAATTACAGTCGTTTTTATCGCGTACCGGATGCCTGGGAAGAATGAAACACCGGAAGTCTTCGACATCCACTGCTCCCTCGTCAGGAGGAACGGACTATGATTTTTCTTGGGGAATTATTACAAAAGTGTGTAACGATATCTTTGGAAGATAAAAATAAGACGGAAAAATTGTAGTAATTGGATTGTGGATGTTGGATACAAATTCAAAATTGAGGGGCTCAGTGGAGAAGGGGCACATGATATAATACTATAAGTTTGCACAACTACTTTTAGGAAAAGTGATTTTCTCAGGAAATTCGGTATTAAGTCATACTTATTTTAGTTGGTAACTGAAGTAGATGGTAAATGGCAATTACTATTAAATCTTCACTCGAAAATTTATATTATGTGACAAGTTTTTTAACAATCTAAGAAAAGATTGTATGTGAGTATGATTGTGCCTTTTTTATTCAGTCCGATTTGGATTATGAAGGAGAAACATTTTAATTTGCGCATTTTTATTTACGTTGTCTTCATCTTGAAAATAAACAAAAATAATGTTCGCATTGTGGACAATCCACTATCAGTGGATTTAATCAGTTATTATGTAAATAAAAAAAGAAAAAAGAAAAACATTAAGACATAGTGGAAAATGTTATGCGCGGAAAAACAATACGGCTGTACCTGATAAAGTGTCTGAAATAAAATTTTGTCGGAATAACCGTACCCTTTTTCTAAGATTGTTAAAAATATAATATGAATTTTAGAGTCAAGATTTTACAGTAACTAAAATACTTCAATTGCTAACTAAAATAAATACGAGTTAATACCAAATTTCCTGAGAAATTAGTTTTCCTAAAAGTAATTGTGCAAACTTATAGTATTGTAGCATGGACCTCTTTTTCACTAATTGTAAGAATTCGATTGTTTTCGATGTTAACGAATTTTAATATGCTTTTGTTTAAAAGGGTTTATGTCACGGTGCTTGAAGGTCACTGAGTGGATGATGGATTGTTAGAGCTTATTGATGGTTTTCCACTAAGCATGTCAATCGTAGACGTTAGTTTATGAATACAGAAATGAGATATAATTTTATTACCTGTACTAGATGTCTTGTTATGTTGAAAGTAATATACAGAGTGTTTCATTTACAGTGGCTCACAAAAGTGTTCGTACATGAGAATGAATTTTATTTAACTAGAATATATTGAAATTAAATAGTGCTTCTATGAAATTTAATTACACATGAACAATATTTTTTTTAATGAGGTTCAATGTTGCATCAACTACTTGAATTGGTTATTAGCGACAGTCTGGTACAAGTAGGCTATTGTAATTTACATTATTTTATTCATAATTACAGACTTCAAAATAGGGTGGGTCACATTTGACTATTAATCCTTTCGCTGCTATTGGCGCCTATGGGCGTTTCAAAATTTCGTTCAGAGTATGCTGTCGGTGTCTACCGGCGTTCAACCGATATCGTTCACCAACAAATGTTGATGCTGTATTCTCAATAACCTCTGCTACCAAGCGCTTATTATCAGCATGACTCCCAAGACAATATTGCTACTAACCACTTTCACCGTGTAGTTTGAAATTTTCTGTTATCGTTATCACTGACCAAAAGTTTTGCTGTTCGCACCTACGATCACTGTTGGATATTCCGCCGCAACAGAAGGGTTGAAATGAGATCGAATAAACATGGTATTCTTCCCTACTACTATTCGAGTATTGCAAATGATAAAATTGATCATCGGTGTCAATAATGTTTCCTCTACTCTGAAACTGTTATATAAATTTGGCGCCGTTCTTCTTTCTTTCTTTTTTCTGTTCGAGGAAAAGCAAATGAAAAAATAATTGCAAACACGACAGACGAAAATTTCTCTCCCGTCTAATGTCGAGGAAAACGCGATCGTGATGACAACAAGGGATACGTAAATTGACCGCGATGAAAACGTACGACTCGGACGGGGATACTAAATCCGGGTTAAAGGACTCTCTCGGTTGGTTCAACTTCTGGCTCTTAATAGCACGTGTACCATAACGTCGGCCATAAACTGTCGCTTTGCGACACAACCGAGACCCGAAGGAACGTGTGTGCCCGTGTCCGAAACGTGCGTAAGTGAATTTCCCGCAAAACGTTTCCTCTCCTGGTTTCTGGAACGTCTGTCCTGGGAAATGCAAAAAAAATTACGCAGCAGAAAACGCGCATAATGCGGTGACAATTTTTTTTCCTTCGCCCAGTGATATGCGGAGTGCTATTCACACGCACGCTAATAAATGGGTCGTGAGAGAACGAAAATGTCCATAAAGTTGTACGTAAAATTACATACTTTATGAACCATTGCGTTCTAAATGGAATATTGTAAAGTCAGTTCGTAGTCAACTTTATATCCTTTATTTTCTTGTGTAATGATGAGCGTCGTTAACTGTCTGGAATACTAGAATCACGGTGGATCTAGACAACTGTGACGTATTTTTGCTGATTTTATAACTGAACAGTGGAATATTTATCATGTATTTATAGTAAGTTCGCGAATAATCTTCGTGAATTAATCTTTGCAACGTGGACTAAATAAGTAACGTCCCTTCCCTTAAAGCTGGTTTGAGCAGAACATAAATAATTTACAACCTCTTTAGAAATATTGTGTAATAAAAACGTATCTTATGTATCCTTATTTCTCTTCCAACACCGTTTCTATACAAGGTACTATGCATTTTTCTCATTACGGTAACTCTATTTTGTTATACTATACATTATATACACATTTTCTACACGCTTAACGGTACAGGTATAAACAATTAAACACCTATGAATTATTTTTGGGTAATAATCTTCCAGAAGTTGGAAACTCTAAAATCTGCACTGTTTTGCACTTAGCGATTTAGATATGAATATTATCAAGACATTAAATCCAGTCCATTGTACTATGTACAAATAAACATTTTTATTATTTTCCTGCGTCTAAATTTCCTTTTGCAAGCATTCGTACTCTCTTTAAGTGGTGTTATTTATTTGTGTTTTTATATTAAAAATACATGTTGATAATTAATAGTTACCAACACCATATGAAAATCGAATTACAACCGCGGAATAATTATTTGACTGGTCTGTAAGCAATATTAATAATATTACCTTGGAATTCGTCACTAACGAGGAATAGGAAAATCATAAAAACAATTGTAAAAAAAAAGTTCTAACACTGAACTTTCTGCGAAAATCTTAGAATTTTCTATATTCCTAGTCTTTATAACTTTTTTATTACGAGGCAGCTTAATGATTTGCTTACGCGTTTAAACAAAAGAAAAAGATATAATATATCGGAAAAGAAAACAAAGACCTGTCCAAGGTAAATACAATTTTTAGGCCCAAGGTACAACACTACAAAGATTACAAAAACAACTTCGTGTCATTTATAGATTACAGATTAAACCCTTCTTTCTACAGCAATCTATGGCTAAATAAGTTACGAAACAATATTAACATTACTGGTTGTAACTTTATGAACAGAAATGAAGTTATTTACAAAAGTTTGAACGAAAAAAGAATTATTGTTTGTAGGCCTTCTCGCAGGTTATGTATAAACTAGTTAGTATTGCCAATTTTGCAAAAAAAAATCCACGAACATTTAAAATTGGATTTACGACCGTGGTAAAACCATGTCTGAGGTACAACAGGTTCCCATATGTTGATTTAAAAAATTCAATATTAAATAATATTGGAAACATCAAACAGGTTTATATTTCAGACTGATATAGTTAGTGTATGTGAAATATCTATGGATTGAGACAAAATTTACTCTTATAAATATTGAATTGGAATTTAGGTTTGAGGTTACGTGACTTCAAATATAGTGTTTTAGTATATGCTATTATATTGATTAGTTAGACCTAACATTGGCTATCAGTAAATAAAAGTTAACTCCGAACTGGTAGAGTCCCGCAATAATTGTATACACTATTTACTATTAACAACTTCAGTGTATTTTACACTCACACGTTCATAACAATTTACTACCAAAAATCGTCAATATAAGTTGCACATTAAAAAATAATGAAAATAATTACGACTTCAATGCGATATGTAAGCAACACAAGATGGTTATAATTTAAAGAAATCAAATAGTATAAATGTTTAGACTGTGATAGACAAAAAACGAATAAATGGTTAGACGATCAGGGGACTTTAACACTAAATATCTTTCGAAAAATTTTTCTTATGAAAAATCCTTTGATCCACTATAAAGCATATAAAAATAATATACAAATTGTACTGACTAAAACCGAATAGCTTGTGTGTACATTCTAGAGCAACCCTATTTTCTTGAACCAATGAAACAGCCTTACTCGTCTTCGCTCAAATATTTATTGCAACAACTGTTCTGTCTCTTCACTTACAAACCCTGTAACTCCGAGATATAAAAACGAAACGAACAACAAACATGTTTGATCTGGGAATATTCAGACAAATACTTATCGGGATCGTCTGTAAGTATATGCTACCTTTGTAAGCTCGGATATAAATATGGTGTATGGACGAATTAACATAATAAACACCTCTTCATCGTCACCGCCAGGCAACCTATTGATCATTGACAGCGGATTGCACGAAGGATGGAGCACTCCCATCATACCAAAGTTCGAACAAACCGATCCCTTGAAAGTGTCCACGGACAAAGTGGCCTGGGTGGTGAATTTGATGTACGTCGGAGTTGGCCTAGGCTCTGTCATCCCTTTTCTCCTGATGGACAGGATTGGTCGTAAAGGAACTTTACTGTTCGCTACGGTACCGAAGATTTGCAGTTGGATTCTAATCGGTCTGGCGGCCACCGTTCCTCAACTTTACGTTGGCCGAATACTGGCCGGAATTGGGTGCGGGATAACTTACGCGGTGTTGCCGATATACATCGGCGAAGTCAGCAGTAAAAGGACACGTGGGCCTTTAGGTACAATTAGTTCCTTTTATTAAACTGTTACGTTTTTCTTCCTTTCTTTTGGGCTGAATTATACTGTTTTGGTATATGAGGTATTCATTAAAATGTAGGATACTTTCACAGGGGGGTCATTCCATGCAAAATCGGATACCTTTTGGAACACTTCGGATTCTATTCCAATTTGGATATGTTGTAGATAGTCTTTATCGATATATAAACGTATCTTGAAGGATTTTTGAAAATTTTAACAATTGCAGATTTTACAGCTGTTTGAAATTTAGGGTCAACCTTTCTTCAATAAATCTGAACTATTGAACTAAGAAAATAATCAAAATGAGCTTTGCAGGTGCTTATAGCGGAGACTTAAGAGTACCAAATCAAAATTATTTCAGTTAAAAAAAGATATGTTTTGATCTTTTATTTTACTTTTGTTTTAAATAAATGCCCTGTTTTTATACTGCCGAACTATTTAAAATTTGAAAAAAAAAAGATAAAGACTACAACATATCCAAATTGGAACAAAATCCGAAATGGTTCTTTCGCGTGGAATGACCCAGGATGGATTCTACGTGCCAAACTAACAATAAGACGAAAACGGATTCCCAATTTATATACAGGTGACATTTAGGAATTTTTTAAAAGAATGCAAACATGATATGATCAAAAAACTTCCTGGCCCTTATTTATTATACATTCAAGTAAATAAAAAAAATGTTTGAACCAAAATTGCACTGTCCAAACGGTGCCCACCATATCTCGATGTAGAGTAGTCCGAAACAAAAATTTCAAAAAGATTACTAAATGTTACTCCAACGGCTATTAAAGGCAAGACTTTGAAAGATGTATCAAAAACATGCAAACACAATAAAAGGCGAAAATTTTACGTATATTATTATGAACAACAAAAGAATTTATTCTTCAAAATTTTCGATAGAAGCCCATACGATAGCTGATTGAATTACAAAAAGAATGCCACACGAATATTTAAAGTCGGTTCATAACTTTTTACATTATCGTGGGCACAGTTTGAATACAGTGTAATTTCGAATCGAAACGATTAGCGCCACCTACAATGCTGGAATATTGAAACAAAAGTTTTTTTATTTACCTGAATGTATAATTAATAAAGGTCACGAAGATTTTTTACTATATCTTGCTTGCTTTCTTTAAACAAAATTTCCTAAGTGTGGGAAGGGGCCTTAAGTAGAATAACTCGTTGACGTCAGACGTATTTCACGCATATTTTGCTCGTATTTTTAATAATTAATAACACGCAAACGAAGCCTCAAACGCAGTTATGTCATTTTTTATTTTCGTCTTGTTAGTTAGGCATGTAGAATCCAACCTGTAAAAGTGACCCACATTTTTGTTAACACCCTGTATGTTTTAGGTCTCCATATGTTTTATTTTTAACCTTCGAAGCTTTTAATTTTAATCGATTGGATTCAATACAGAATAATTTTTATTCTTTCTTATTGTATTAAACTAACCAGAATTCTACTGCTATTTTAACAGATAAAAGCTTATCTTGATCTTTCTAAAGTTTTGTTTTAAACTTTTGTTAAGAAACTTTTAGTAATTATATTCATGATACAAAGAATAATAAACGTAGATCCGGTTTTAAGATTGAGATTTAATGATAAGCATACAGTGAAACAAATATAGCCTTCATTTTGTTTTGTATTTCACGAGTTCTCATTTTAATTATATTACGAGTTTCGTTGTCGTGATTTAATATTAAGAGTCCCATACGATGCTGCCACTTTAAATCGTTCTATCCAACCATGTCAGTGGTTGATTTCATTAGCTAGGTACGGGTTTATTTCAGGCCTAGTACTAAAATTAATCCAGTGTCTAATAGCACTTGTATATTGTTTGATTGTTGCCTTAGCCAGCGATGCCATCGTAATATTTACTGATTGCTCTGACGTATTCCTTCTACTAAAAGCCTCCCTGTTACTTTCCCTGCCATTAATATCAACGATCTGGCTAACGGATGTTGATAGGATCTGCAAGGAGAAAGTAACAAATCAGGTGAAGTTTCAAACAAAATCGAAGGCTCAATAAGTAGAGACGTTAGTAATGGCAACCATTGCTGTGCTCATTATTTTGATTTTTATTACGTGGTTTCAGAATTTAAAAAAAAATTAATTAATTGGTTTACTTGCTTCCTGTAAGTGGCATGAAATTAAAAGGTACTGGATCACAATCCATTTCAGCACTTCGAAACATTATTTTCTAATATTACTCGCACAATCAATCAATGCGTACTGACAATCAGTCAAAAGTCGGTTGAAGGACTTACATAACAACACATACAAGCGTGCAGTAATACAGCCGTGTGACGTGTATTTTTATCGCCAAATCAAAATTTTTATTAAAAAGCTACAACATTGTTCATATTTATTAGAAAATAATTTTTGTGAAAAATAATTAACGTAACGTAAAAAAGAATTATTCGCACTGCAAAGACCTTTTTAAAGTGAAAAAATAAAGTTTTCTTCACCTAACAGCGGATCGAACTCAGGACTCGCAGCGTCGTAATCTGTTTCTCTACCGACACACCCACGGATCCTCCGTTATGACATGCTTTACGTAAATAAATGACTAGATGCGTACAAAACTTTAAATCGGAATATCTCGAAAACGAAGGCCCATTCTACGGAAACCAATGAGGGTTTTGTAACACTGTATGTGTACTACAACTTCTATGTACCTAGTGTCATTCCAAAAGCGATTAACCGACCCGTAAGTACTTCAGAATTACATCTCCGAATTTTGATGGTTAGAGTAATAAAAACGTTTAAGACGAAGAAGGGTTTTTGAATCGGTTTTACAAATTTCGAATAGTTTCTTAAATCTTTATTTATCCATATAGTGTACCTGTATTACCATTTACTCCAGGATTCTTGACGAATTACATTACATACACCTGCTGTCTATTTTCTACCGTTAACCATAGAATCTATGGTTAAACTTTACTTCCCCGGATAAAAAATTATCGACTTTTTTTTATATCTTCTGGTAGTATACAACGAGTAGAATCTGAAAATGCAAGTGTTAAGTTTAGGAATCTAGCGGTTCAAAAGTTATGCGTATGTAAAACCAAGCATTTTTAGCGTACTTTACAGGTTAGTTTAACGCCATATTGACTTTTATACCAAATCCGTCCAATCAGTGGTGTCACTGCTTGTAAGGACATGCACGTGATGGCCGCCATTTTGGCGGGATAATTCAAATGTGCTTGCAAAAAGGAATCATTTATTCAAAGCGAAATACTGTTGAATTCCCCTCCACCTGAGCTAGATCAAACCTTCTCAGAATCAGTATTTCGCTTCGATTAAGTGATTCCTCTTTACAAGCACATTTGAATTATCCCGCCAAACTGGAAGCCGTCACGTGCATCTCCTTACAAGCAGTGACACCACTGATTGGACGAATTTGGTATAGAAGTCAATATGGCGTTAAACTAACCTGTAAAGTACGCCAAAAATGCTTGGTTTTACATACGCATAACTTTTGAACCGCTAGATTCCTAACCTTAAAACTTGCATTTTTAGATTCTACTCGTTGAATACTACCAGAAGATATAAGAAAAAGTCGATAATTTTTGGTCCGGGGAAGTAAAGTTCAGCCGAATCTATTATTCATCATTAAACGCTAAGTATTTAACACGCATAAATCCATCGATATAATTAACACGAACTAACAAACCATGTCTCATCAGTATCGTAATACACCGACTAACACTAAACAACAAGCTAACCCGTATACAAACCACCAAGGAAACAAACGACTAAGCAGTTCGAGTTCTCCAGGTACCCTGATGGCGGTGCTCCTAAACACAGGCGTGATGATGGCATACGCGATCGGTCTGTGGACAACTCGGTTCACTATGTCCATGGTCTGCGTTTCTATTCCATTCCTGTTCCTGCTGTCCTTCATCTGGCTACCAGAAAGCTCGGTGTTCCTCACCAAGAAGAAGAAGCTAACCTCCGCGGAGAAAACGTTGAAGTGGGCGCTAGGAAAGGATGACGTCGAGGAGGAGCTAGAAGAGATCAAACGGATTATCGCCACGGAGGATTCCGGTTCCGATGAGGCCAGACCGTTGAAGGAGATATGGTCCAGGCGGGAAAATCGAAAAGCTTTTGGTATCGCGATGATTGTTCTGAGTGCGTTGACCTTAACCGGGGCCACGCCACTACTGGCTTATCAGTCATTCATATTCAAGGAGGCAGGCTTCGAGATCTCGACGAATGTCAGCATCGTAATGACCGGTTGCGCCATTGTCTTAGCCGGGTCGGTGTGCGTGATGCTGGTCAGAAGCATAGGCAAGAGGATGCTACTGCTGATCTCGACGCCTGTGTGTGTGCTGTCGTTGGCGATGCTGGCAATCTTCTTCGGGCTTCTCTCGCACGGCGAAGACGTCGCTAACCTACGATGGATGCCCACCGTGTTCCTGGTGATTTATGTCTTCGGCTACGGCCTAGCCCTGAACCCCGTGCCGCTCGCCTACGTCGGCGAGATTTTCCATGTCGACGTTAAGGTGCCCGCGGCCATATTTTGCTCCCTTTATTACGCCCTCACCACTTCCGTCGTCGTGAAATTCTATCAGGTAGGTTTCCGCGCGAACGGGAATCACGCATTTGCGCGTGGTCGTTGGCGAAATGATTCGCGAGTGTCAGCAACGTGATTTCGGTCACGTCCCAGGGAAATTTTTAATACTCGACTGGTGATTACGTCGGGACGACGTTCTTTTCCTTCGACGTTTCTTTTTTTTTATTTCATGTACTTTTTTCGGTCGGGTACTCGCTGGTAGATTTTTCAGCGCGGTACTGAGTTCTTGCCGGAAAATGCGAGGGTAGGTTTGAAGGGAGATTACGGAATTCAGGAGAGCGTTGAATACTCAGCCGGGGGATTTTTGAAAATGCTTGTGAATTGTTCGGAAATTTCTTCCTTTTGCATATTGCAATTTAAGTTATGAAATATCTGAAACAATTCATTTTTGTAATATTTAATCATCGTTATAAAAATTTATTAACCAGTCATTTTGAGTATTTTGGTAGTTCTATTGTTAAAGTGCCGGGTCATTTTGGAACATTTTATATATTTTATTGCACAACTTTTTTTGGACTCGTAGTACAAACGGATAATTGTAGATGTAGCTCTTTAGATTGTGAAGTGTTCGTCGAGGGATTGTACTTAGTGTTTCTCATTGAAATTAGTTTAGGCAATTCCATCGATACCTTTTAGTGGATTATGAATTTAAGAAAAAAGTTGCATTAATTACACATAGTATCGTAACAATTAAAAATAATTTCTGAACATTCTACACAAAATATTAGCAGCTTCTAACAGTAAACGTGATGGATGAAGCACTGGGATAAACTACAAACTCTGGGTTAGACTGCATTCTTTTATTTTTGTGACGAAAATATTAGTGAATTAATTCTGCAATAGCTACAGTTAATAACTTCTGAAGGAAATTATCATTTCATAGATAATTACGAATTTTATTCAGAAATATACTTGTTTCCTTTAAAAGCTATTCACCAGTGCTGAAGAAATACAACGATTTCTGAAATTTCTGATACTTCATGATAGTTGGTTTACTGATTTGATAGAAAAACTAGATTACCTTAAACTGACTGAAGATATAAAAAAAATTGTCTGCTACGTCTAATAAAACATACAGAATATTATATACCAGAACCATTTTCTTACAGTTGATACTGTAATCTAGAATGAACCAGTAAATTTTTTAATAGCCCTCTAACTAAGAAAGACCAAACTCACATTTCATTTCCAGTTAAAGAACTTGAAAACTCGCCTGATAATAAAATAATTAATCACAAAAATAAAAGAATTTCGTTATAAATAATAGGGGATGAGTCAACAACTTAAAAACGTCTTCCCAGCGCATTACCAGATCCGAATTAAACGATAAAGTGGTTGCAAAAAATTTTTCCGTCAACGACCTGAATCTCTTGCTGGGGGAAACTATCGGCGCGTCGCGCGTTTGAATGGAGTGATAGTTTCGTGTTATTCGTAGGTACTGCAACAATCGTACGGAACGTATATGCCCATGTTGGTGTTCATGGCAATCACATGCTTCGTTTGGATTCTGATCTACCGATTCGTGCCGGAGACTGAAGGAAAGACCTTGGAGGAAATACAAATTGAGTTGAGAGGGAAACACGGAATCGTTATTGACTCACCGAAACGTCATAAAATATCTATTTAATAAATGAAAGACATCGAAACACAAATATTTATTTTCTTTTTCCCAGATTTGAAATAGAATACCTAGTACCCATAGTCAATAAGAAAGACCACATCAAATATATTTGAAAACACGGAATTAAAAGAATTACTTTTTATATGTATGGAAAGTTATTTGGTAAGGGACTGTCTCACATGATGGTATGGGATTCACTCACCTCTTTTGTTAAAATAACTTTCATTCAAAAATTTTTCTCTTACATTCATAATTTCAAGGAGGTATTGAATGTGGAAATTTTCATTGGTCTAGCCTTATTACGTACTTGGAACTAATGTAGCTGATTATATTTATATGAATATTTTATATTTGTATGATTTTCCATTCTTCGAAACAACTTCTTCTGTGCTACTGTATAGTTTCAGCAAATGTATTGCGAAATGGAAATATTTCAATTCTTGGTGAAGACATCAAAGTTAAATTAACAAAGAGGGCATCTCCAATTTTTATTAGATTAAATGTGGTTGTTCAACTACATTCTGATAATAAGTTTCATAGTCACTTAAGATTTGTAAATTCTTTAAAAAAGATGGCTATCTTTCTAAGATATCCCGAATCAAATTTTAGTTAGAAAAAGGATCTGTGTCAAAGTTGAAAGCAGGGATATTACTTTCTGTAGTTTCAGAAGGAGATCAGAAGTATTTTCAGCCAAATACTTTAAAAACTTTATATACAAGAGCATCAAAAGTAAAAGTAAAAAATGGTATTGCAAAGAATACGCCAAGTTTCTTTTGGGACAGCAAGTAAAGTTCCATGAAACTCCTGCTCAACTTTTTCTGATAAGTTATATTTTAGGAACTAGTCTTTTCTTGGATCTCCTTTAGTATTATTGACAACGTCAATAGTTTAGCTTATAACGTTACTATCTGCTTCTTAGCTATTATATAAAGGAAAACATACTTTGTGAATCAGACGAACATAACTTGGACTGTGTATTATCTATTTTAATTTCACTAAATATGTCATACAACTTTGCGCTACGCATTCGCATGTACTACAAACGGATAACATCTGACATCGTAAATGCACAAAAACATTCACGTCGCGTACCTAAATTAACGTATAACTGGTCACGTGAAGTTTTCATGTACACCCCTGAGCAATCTCGGCTTCCGCTAGGGGAAAAAGTGGCGTAAGAGTAGGAGCCTCCTACCACTTGGTAAATTTATTTCAAGTACTAAAATACATGTTAAATCGAACATTAATTTGAGATACATTTCAATAATTCCCGAAACCAAATGGCAGAAGGTCCTTCCTCTACGTCACTTTTTCCCCTAGTGGAAGCAGAGATTTAGTCTTCTGTATTGATACATTAACAATCGTAAATTTTCAAAACAATGAAACATATACCGACAAACAAATTGAGCAGACCTGAGAGTGTGCTCGTTTTGGAATTATCAGAAAATTCATAAATAAAGCAGTCTCAGAGACGACACATTATCAGTTAAGGGTTAATAATGAAATCCAAACTCGAAAGAACAAAAATTTCTATTTCAATCTTCTATTCAATGAATTACAAATTATTAATACACTCTGCATATCAGACCCGTCAAATATTCGTAAAGTACATAGTAGGGCAAACGCACCAATGAACGAACACTTAAGTGATTTTGTAACTAATAAACTAAAATTTCAAATTATAATAATATATCAAATTATAATAAATATAAAGATTTCAATCTGGAAAATTGGAAAAATGTAATTAAAAATTAAATAAAAAAAATGCAGAAATGCAAATGAACATTTCTAACCAATAGGGTGAAATTTGTTTCAATATGAAACAAGGAATTGAAAATCATCAATATTGATTCATTGGCTTATTCTAGTAACTTATTGTTAGTTTGCTCGTTTTTACATATAATGTTCATTTACTGGACAGGTCACCCTACTATGCATTGTCTTCCGATCGATGGTGTATTACATATAAATTCAACAAGTTAGCTGTGAACAGCAATAACCGAATATGGAAAATTACATGCTTATTGAACAGAAATTTCCAATAGGCGCACGCAGTACACGCGTAATATTTCCGGAATGTCGGAAACAGAAGAGGAAGAAGAAGGGAAAAAAGGTGATCAATACACGGATGTATTTTCCGATTCCGTGGAACCAGTCACGGCGGAGAAGGCAAACTGTAATTTCGACAAATTACACTCAAAACAGGCCGGGGAAGGATAAAGGGGGGGGAAAAGAAAAGGGAAACACGGAAAGAGAGTCCTGGGACTCGTTTGATCGCGAAGTTCTGCGTCTGCAAAGAGAATCGCGAAGCAATCCTAGATCCTGCGCGCGCGATACATCTACCGCTGCCCGAACGCTTTTCCCCTCGAAACTATTTGACTTCCGGTTAAAAACGCGCTTGTCGCGTAACCAAACTGCGCTCCACGTTAACTTTCCGGTTCTGTTTGCTTTAATAGCGTCCCGTTGCTGATTTGTTTACCTCCCATTCGCGTTACACGAAAACACGCTGAGCATACACTCTTACTCTTTCGTATGCGCGATTTCGAAAATTTCTCGCTTAGTTCACAGGCGCGAGCTATACGCCTAAAGGCAAGTCCACATACGTTCAACGCGCATTGCAGAACACGCTTGAAAGGGACGATTTTAACCCTCCGACCACGGTCCCTAGGTCATTTCTGACCCCACACCGATATTCTACTACACACAGCGACGCCGAGGCTCGAGCTCGAGGCCCTCACCGATATTACTATGAGCTCGAGCTCGAGCCACCGTCACCATGTATACAATGTAATGATTAACTGGTTTCACATTACATTTGGATTTTCGTGGCTCTTATTACACTAACTAGAATAAAAATCTCGTGAGTTATAAAACAAATTATATTTATTAATCAATACTTCTGCAGCGTTTTGGCCCGGTCGTTCGCATGTAAACAAATATCGGTCGCTACGCGATTTACGCGACAGCTCCGTCACTGCGTGCGTGTCGCTCTCGCGAACGCGTGACCCAGGGACCGGGCTCGGAGGGTTAAACGCCGAGTGCCGATCCCAGATCGTTGACTCTCGGCGTTCGACGGTACGAATGACCACGCTGCCGAAAGTTATTGGGACTTTAATTCGAAGGATCTGAATAAAAATAAAGTTAAAAATGAAAAATCCCTGCTGTTACGCCAATAGCATGACATCTGAGTTGCATCTGACTGTGGGATTCAATATATTACAAATATAAGCAGTTTGAAAATGAAGGAAACTTTATTATTTTTCAAGAGAACAGTTGCGTTCCGACCCATGGTTCCTTTCAGACTTTTTATCCTCATGGTGGTGAGTAGAATATAAAGCAACGATAACAAAATTTGACAAATCCAAGATCATGGTCAATTTTGCGGCAACATTCTTACCTGTATCTCCACCAGATAGAAGATGTAGAATCCGGCTATGGTAGCCGCGACATGTAATTCCTTGACACCCTGTATATAGCCAGACACATTTTATTTCGTTTTTAAATTATGAATCGTCGAAAATATATGCGTTTAGTTACTAGAGGCTGTTCGTACTGTTTTAAATTACACTGCAACATAAATTTTACGAAAAATTTTCTAACGGTATTGAAATAATCCAGCCTTTTCCTACTGTACAAACGTGTCACCCATATCTGGGTGATGTAGCAGTCAACGTGAAAGAGTTTTCATAGTTACATGTAAGATAAAATATACGAAGCGCGGTGCAATTAAAGAAAAATTTTAGAGAATATTTCGTAAAACAGATCCTTGAGACCAGGCTATTCGCGACTTAGTGAACCAAGCTATGACGATAATTGCCCAATTTTTCTATTGCAAAACCTTACGAACCTCTCCGTTACGTAATATTTCGGAAGAAGGAATACAGGGACTAAAGGAGTTAATTTATCAAGGCTCAACCTGTATACGTGACAGGGGCGTACCTAAGTACACTCCTTGTCACTAGCAACCCCAACGAAACGCGTCTGTCTCTGCGCCTTACGTGTTCCTGGACACTTACGTCTACGTGCCCGTCATACGTCTCCGGCAAGTGGTGTTACGTGCATCGGGTGTTAATGCGTTTGTGTGCTCGTGATTCTCGCACACCGTTACGCGCGTTTTGAATACGTTGGTAGGTCGAGGACGTACGCGCGCGCGCACCAGATCAAGATTGATAGGCTACGAGTCGCAGCTCGTACGGAGCATCCACTTAGCGGTGCATTATCCCGATGAGAATGTGTACAGACTGGAGCTTACCTAATGCAACTGCTGCAATCCTGATAATGGCAGCTACTTGTCCATAAAAGAACGTGCGTGTACTCCGGCTAATCGGCAATTCCGAGGCCGGTAGACTGTATTCCGTCAGCCTGATTGTTGCGAACAATAAAGCCCCCGAATTGTGATCAATTCGTTCGGACAATTCGGTTTGGTATATGTCTTTTGATCGATGGAGGGGAATGAAGAGTGTGTCTGTTATTTACTGGTCCACAGAAACAAGGGATTGTAGTCGTTTTGGAGTGGACATCATTACTGCGTACATTCTATTGTATATTTCCTACAAAAAATGAAAGAAATTCGTGATGGCTACGTTCAAACTCTATCGATTTTCCATGGAATGACCCATTTACATAAATATACTCAGTTTAATGGTTACACTCTAGAAGAATCCATTTGTTTAAAAAGTACATTCTGATATAGCACTTTTGCGAATTTTGCGGATCAAATGTTAATCCAGAATACTTATTGAATTACATTATCCTTTGATCCACGCCGCCTCGTGCTCTAGTAACGTGTCCGTGTCTCCACTGAACGATTGTTATTCGTCTGTCGTTGTCCGCGGCGCTCTATCGTTCTCCCTTTATTATCTTCTCTGTCGGCGTTTCCAGCTAGACCGCGGCGCAGCGACAGTGAGTCAATAAATCCCGCGTATATAAAAGGACAGAGAAACCTGAGCGACAAAGCGCGACTCGCGATAGGTGGGACACTCCGATGAGGAATTATCCACTGTGGCGGATCAAGCAGTCTTG